GGAGGGCGTGGTTGGTTTGTTTTCAAGTTCAAAGTCATAAAGTCACTTTGAATTTGGGCTCTGCCTAGTCTCTGTTGGGGTCCATTTCTGTCCACATAATTTGCCTAGCTTGTTTTCATTTGTGCAGACACAAGGTAGAGAAATTTGCTTCTGAAACGGTCAAGACACATGGGTTTTGGCTTGTCCTTTTTGTATGAAACCCAAAGTCAAATATATATGAATCAATGAGGAACAAGTACAAAACTAAAATTTAATAATTTCAAAATAACAGGAAACTGGATTAAACTTCTGGATTAACACATGTATAAGATAAGACTCAAAGACAATTTCAAGGTGCTGCCTTTTTGCTATTTTTTTTCTTATTTTCAATATTTTAATATGAACAGGCAAATGGAATAATTATAGAAGCAACCCACCATTCTCAATCTCTCAAGGTACTACGAACACAGCTTGGAACAGTTGTTCTTGTTGTGATGCTGGAAAAACGCATGTATCTAAACTTATTTTATTCAACAAAGATTTTTTAAGTAGTATTTAATATGCCATTCATATTTGCCAATCAAATCTTAAAAAATTAAGAAAAAATATTTTAGAATTATATTATTTTGTCAAAGTATAACGAGAAAAAAAATAAAATAATTTTATTATTTTAGTGTTTATTAGAATTTTTTATTTTACTGTGTGAATTATATTAGATTATAAAATAAATATTATTAAATAGGGAGTGTTACTCAATATTAAACTACTCATCCTCCTCTAATAGTTAGTGTTATATAATTTGACTTACACAACACTTTTTTTTTGTATTTAATGTGTTATTTTAATATTTTTTAATAAATTAATAAACTAAATAACTTAATAGTAATTTTTTCTATTGAAAATAAAAAATCATAAATTTAATTTGCATGATATATAAGTGAGGTAAACTATGAGATATAAAAAAATTACCTTTTATTGTATAATTAAGATAAAAAAATATTTTTCAATAGAAATTTATTAGAATGATATAATTTTTAAACATTTTTCTTCTTAATTTTTTTTGGAAATATGAATGACAAACACTTTTTTCATTTATAATATTTAGTAATTAAAAAAAATATATCTTATAATCTTAAATTAATTAAGTTAATTTTTTATCATTAATTTTTTTTCTTTATTATTTGTAATAAAGTGGTTTAATAACAGGAGAGGGGGATGTTTTGTCTACTTTTTTTTCTTTTTTCTTTTTTTCTTTAGTCTTCTCAGATGTTCCACTTATGGACGAATGGAAGAAGTGATTTGCTTGTAAGTACGGCTGCCAACGCGGGATTGGGTTCGAACCTGTCAACCCGGTCTCAGGCATGGGACCGGTTACTTAGTAATGAGTTGGTTTTGAACAAGTTTTTATGGATTGGCCATCCGGTTTAAAACTGCTTCCATTTGATTTTTTTTTTAATTTTAATTTTAATTTTAAAATAAGTAAAAAATTCAAAAAATATTTAAATAAAAAGCACTTGGACATCGGATCTACTCACTCAAGTTGACCGTTCGGTCTTTATTGTTTGAATTTCCAATTTCTTCTTTTTATTAAAAATTTTTGAATAGAAATTATTCGTTTTTAAAACTTGAAGTAATAAGAATTTAATTCAAGACTAGCACTTCAATCACAAAAAAAAAAAAAAAACCAAAAAAAAAAAAAAAAAAACACTTACTGCACTAAAAACTAATAATAATTTTTATGATTAAAAATTAAAATTTCATTTAGTATAGTTGTGATTTTTAATTTTTAATTTTAATTTTTATAAAATTTACAACTATAGAAAATAAAAATAAAAAATAAAAAATAAAAAACTAATAATTTATTTAAGACAATTACGAACACTAATAACTAAAAGTATGAACTTATTTAATTGTATTAAAAACTAATTTATTTGTATTTCTCTAATAATTTTAATGATATATTATAAAAATACATGAAGTTAAAAGAGTTTTTTTTTAGAATAGTAAAATTTATAAAATTTAAAATCAAGAATTAAAAACTAAAAATCACAAATATACTAAATCAAGCCTCAATTTTGGTACTTTTATATAATGCTTTTAATATGAAATTAAAAAATAAATTATTAATAAAAAGTAAAAATTTAGTGGAGTAAGGTTTTTCTTTAAACTAGGAGGTCTAATGTTCAAAGCTTTCTATTATTTAGTTTATCTTAATTTATTACTTTAAAATTAAAAAACAAAAAACAAAGTGAAATGAACAAGGCGGTCCCAATCTTAATTGATCCAAAACCGGAACCAATTACCTAACCAATTCCAAAAACCGGTTTTGAGGCACTGGACCGAATCGATTCAATAGAACGGTTCAATAATAAGAAGCCCTAATTTGTAAGAGGCTGCTGTCCTCTGGGTCCAACGTTATGGTAAAAAAAAAGCTAAAAAGGAAAAATCTAAAGCTTTTCTTCTTGCTAATCTTCTCTTTCAACTTACAAGTTAGCTTCTTTGTGCTACCATCAAAGCCTTCGAATTTCCCTCTCTTCTGGGTATGTTCTAATTATCAGGTCATTAACTAATATTGAAATCATTTTTGGCTGATTTTGTCTGTGTGTGTGTGTGTGTCTTTTTTTTTTGGGGCTATTTTTGGTTTATGATGCTAATTGAGTGTTTTCTGATCGAACCCAGATCCTGATTCCTGATAGTATCTGGGTCTGCTGAGTTCAGTTGCTGATTCTGGAGGAGGAGGATGGATTGGTGACAAGAGAGGACGGAGAGGAGAAGAGGGTTTCTGGTGTGTATATTTAATGTATAAAGTTGCTACTGGTTTTTAGTTTCTTTTTGTTTGATTTTAGCATTTGGGTACTTGAATTTAGGTGAAAGGGTGTTTGATTCGTGTTCTTTTCCCTTATAGACTTTAGGGGAAGTTAGGATTTTTTTTTTTTTTTTGTACGGTGATGTATTCAAGCAATAGTTTTTGTTTTGACAGATTCTTCTGGGTTTTTTTTTTTTTTTTGATTTTTACCCGGAAGTGTGTTTCTGAAACTGGGATTGCATGATATTGAATGGGTCTGTTTGTTTTTGGCTTGTGATAGACTGTATGCATCTGGGCAATCTTCTCTGATTCCGGTTGTGGGGTTTCCCTCTTTAATGGACTGGGTGCATTTGGATTGAGAACAGTCGGGTTCAGCAGGAGTTTTATAATTTATTTGGAATAAGGAGACATGATCAAACAGATACTTGGTAGGCTCCCAAAGAAGCCATCTAAGTCTTCTGATAATCGTGAATTTGGGGGTTCATCTGCCACTTCTTTGAGTAATTCTGCTAGTTCGAGAAGCAGTGATCTTTTGAGTCATAGGTTGGTAACCTCAGACAATATTGCACTTCCTGGCCCTAATTCTACTTCAAATTCTGGATATGGCATTGGAGGTAAACTTTCTCAGGCTGGAAATCAACTAAATGGGAGTTCAGTGGCTACTCCATATGAAGCATTGCCAGGATTTAGGGATGTTCCAAGCTCAGAGAAGCAGAACCTGTTTGTTAGGAAGCTAAGCTTGTGTTGTGTTGTGTTTGACTTCACTGACCCAACAAAGAACTTGAAAGAGAAGGACATCAAGCGGCAGACATTGCTTGAGCTTGTGGATTATGTTACTACTGTTAATGGCAAATTCACAGAGACTGTAATGCAAGAAGCTATAAAGATGGTCTCTGTGAACTTGTTCAGGTCACTCACTCCACAACCTCGAGAGAACAAGGTTTTGGAAGCCTTTGATTTGGAAGAAGAAGAGCCTTTGATGGATCCTGCATGGCCTCATTTGCAAATTGTATATGAATTCCTTCTGAGGTTCATTGTATCTTCTGAAACAGATGCCAAGTTGGCTAAGAGGTATATAGATCATTCTTTTGTCCTCAAGTTGTTAGATCTCTTTGATTCTGAGGATCCTAGGGAAAGAGAGTATCTTAAAACAATTCTGCATCGCATTTATGGCAAGTTTATGGTGCATCGGCCATTTATCAGGAAGGCTATCAATAACATTTTCTTTCGTTTTATTTTTGAAACGGAGAAGCATAATGGGATTGCTGAGCTTTTAGAGGTTTTGGGAAGCATAATCAATGGCTTTGCGTTGCCTCTGAAGGAAGAGCATAAATTATTCCTTGTTCGGGCACTAATCCCCCTTCATAAACCAAAATGCTTACCGATGTACCATCAGCAGTTATCATATTGCATTACACAATTTGTTGAGAAAGATTGCAAGCTTGCTGATGCAGTTATTAGGGGATTGTTGAAGTATTGGCCAATTACTAACAGTTCAAAGGAAGTCTTGTTCCTCAGTGAGCTGGAAGAGATTTTGGAAGCAACTCAATCTCCAGAATTTCAAAGATGTATGGTTCCCTTGTTCCGCCAAATTGCTCGCTGCTTAAGCAGTTTTCATTTTCAGGTAATGCCCACCATCATTTTCTATTCTTCATTTAATTTATGTCCTTTGTTCCATGTTCTATTTTTTTTTTTTTTTCCAAAATGATTTTAGTATCAACTATCTGTCTGATTATGTTCTGGTACTTGCTAAATTGCTTTGATATTTGAAAATACCCAACCACTGCATTTTAATTAATTAATTTACTTTTGGTCTGCTCCCATGGGGAAAGGGATCATTCTTTGATGTGGGAAGAACAGTGCTGTTTGACAGGGTTTTCAGTAAGCCCTGGAAATTATTATCTTGTTTGCCATTGCCTTTAATCATTATTTGATTGATTTTATTATATTGAATGGAATCTTATGTGATCAGAGGAGTGCAATTAGATATCAGTTTAAGAGTTCATTAGCTCCATGATAATCTATATTTGTTGTTCTGTTGTGTACACTGGGTCCATCATCATAAATATATCAAACTCAATATTTGTAATCGATCCCTAAGAATGATCACATTCTGCATTAGGGAAGTTTTAAATTTTTTATGCAAGTCTATTTGCTAATACCAGCCATATTATCCTGATGGCAAGCTGATCATGAAAGCATACTGAGAAGCTAACTTCAGGTTATCTATGATTGATATGCTGCTAGGAAAAATGAAATAAACATATATGCAATAAGCTGAATTTAATGCAAACAGCTTTCTTGGCTGTGCTTAGATGCATCTATGGACCAGTGCTTTGCTGGGGCCTTGGTTTTTCATACTTCACATTGTATTAAAAATACATGAAATTATTTAGCTTCTATTTTGGATAAGGACTTTCAGAAACTTCCGATTCCCTTAATGATAAGACCTTCTAGAACTAAACAATCTAGAAGATTGAATCTTGGTGGTCCTTTGATATTTTCGTAGATCTTATTGATTGTTTTCAGGGCATGGAATTTCAGGCTTCATCTCCATGATTGCATACCCCATAACTATAGTATGTGTACTAGGCTTCTGGAGTTCATCAGTTGTTCAGAACATGCTCCTGGATGTAATAATGAATGGTACAGAACTTTGTTTATGTTTGGCAAAAGCTTAAAAAGCACTTGCTTTAAAAGCAGATTTTTCTCTCATGAATTTGAAATTTTGTTAGAGGGATATTCAAAAATTAGCTTTTAAAGTAGCTTTTAAGCAAGTTTCGAGAAAGTTTGGATGTGTAGTTTTTTAGAACTTGCTTAAAAGCCACTGTAAAAGCTGATTTTTAATTTTCCCTCCAACAAAATCTTTGTTTGCTTTTTGGTTGCTAACACCTGCCTAGTAAATAGTGATAATCAAAAAGTCATGTTATTACTGTGCTAGCACCATAGATCATGATTGGTATCTGTTAATTAGTTGGAGACCTTGTGATTCTCTAATGTGTGAAAAAGGCTTTCTTTGGTAGCAGTAGATGATGATACATAAGTATATAAAATTGTTATTCTAAGGTGTGTAAAGTGAGTACAAGATATTCATTTTATCATTTGGTTCTCAGGTTTGCTTAAAATGATTTTGAAGGTTGTCATAAATTAAATACAGATTGAAATTCTCACCAATAGCATTGAGTTTATTTGAGCAGGCATTTACTGTGTAGGATCAACTATAAAGGGAGGATTATGGTGGATTGAACTTGTAAATAATCAAATTAAAACCATGTTGGCAATAGGTGAAGTACTCTGCATTGTATTTAAGATTTTCCCATTTAATATGTCCCTGCCTCTCATGGGTTGAGAATTGGGCTATGCTCACGACAACCTCCAGTGTTGAAAACACCCTTAGGTTGCATACACAAGATGGGCTTGGGCTCTGTTACCTTATAAGCATCCATCCTAAAACCAATTGAGTTTTTGTGGAGTAATCCACATTGTATTTAAGTCCACAAGTTTCCTCCTAATTAATTGATGTGGGATTTTCCCTTATAACATAAATCCATTAGTTGGAATTATTAAATGCCAGTAATAGATTACTTAGTAATTAATTTTTGGAATGAGGTTTTATCAATTTTTATATGGTCCCTCTTATAACTCTCAATTGCTGAATTGTTTAACCTTAATCGTAGAGAGCATTTTGGAGAAGAAGTGTTTGTGTTGGCTTCAGATGCTACCTGCCTGCTTGCATGCTTGGGTTCATGCTGTCTATTTTAATAGTTACCTAAATGAAGTTAGAACCAGATGGTTGCATCATCTCTTGTTTAAGTGGCTAGGTTACTCAGGCAGTCATGTTACATCATGTCCTTATACTGATGTGGCATGTTTAATAGCATTCTTATCAGGATTGGTTTCTGGTTTTCCAGATTGGTTTACCAGATTTGATTTAGCTAAAACACTATTATATGGTTGTCCCAATTTGCATGGATGATCAGTATGCTGTACAGCTATAATGATAATAAGTTGCAGGTGCTTTCTTCAATACACAAGTTATTTAAGTAGTATTTTGAAATTATATGTCAAAACTTTTGATTGCCTTCATATACTGGAAACTAGTTTCTGTTAGTTTGTATTGTTCAAGTTCCAAAATGAGTTGTTGTTCTGTGGTAACATGATATATATGATCTGCATATGGTCTTATTTTGCTTCTGCTGAAATATTTAGACATGCTAAGTTTCCCAAATCCTTTCTTCAGCAAGTTGTTGCCTTCTCTTACAGGTTGCAGAGAGGGCTTTGTACTTGTGGAATAATGATCATATTGAGAACTTAATCAGACAAAACCGCAGAGTAATACTGCCCTTAATCTTCCCTGCCTTGGAGAAAAATGGGCGTAATCACTGGAATCAGGTGGTCCAGAGCTTGACAGTTAATGTGCGGAAGATTTTTTCTGATGTTGATCCTGAACTAGTTGAGGAGTGCCTGCACAAGTTTCAAGAAGATGAAGCAAAACGGGAAGAGATAAAAACAAAACATGAAGCCACCTGGAAGCGCTTAGAAGAGATTGCTTCATCAAAAGCTGCAAGTGGTCAAGCTGTTCTTGTACCTCGCATGATACCCTCCCAAACATCTCCAGCATTATGATGGAAGGATTTGATTTTCTCATCAAATGGTTTAGATCGTTTGGTTGGTGCCAGAGTCACAAGATGGTTGATGTGCTTTGAGATGTTGAATACTAGTGGGTTGCTGTCTATTGCACCTGGAGCTTGATTTCGGTCATAAACACCTGGTGTCCCACATTCTGGTATCCATACAACAAATAGAAGTTGGCAGCTGCATTCTGCCTTAGGATGGAAGAGTTGTAACTAGTAATTTTGGCCTTCTAATAGTTTCTTGTTTTAGGGAATTATTACATGAAGGATCTACAAATCACAGGTATTTTACGCACTCTGAGTCTTTGATTTCATTTCTTTGTGTACTTATTCATCTTTCTCATCGTATTTGTCATGTCCATGTATCATATATTTTCCTTCCTGTTCTTAGAAATCAAACATTTTGTTGGTGTGTGTTGTTAGTATGAATATTGATGGATTCGAATGTGGCTTTAATCGGAATGAACTTTTGTTATATCCTACGGTATGATGGTTGGTTGCTTATCGCTTTCATACTCTTATAATACTAGTTGACTCATGTATGAACTCGTGTATTTAATAACTCTACATGCCGTGGGCAAACGAGGAAGCAAATTGCAATTTTGGGTTTATTTTATTTTATTTTAAATAAAGCAGATAGAACACCCAAGTTAGAGACAAACAAGGTATCAATTTAAAGAGCACTGGGATCCAAGGAAGCAAATGCGAGTAGATTCTCATCGCGTTCGAAGAAGGCCATGTCTTGTTTGCTTAACGGTATCCAGGCTTCTATTCCATCACCTTTTCTCGTATCCAGTAAGAAGATGGAATTCTTAATTAATGGAGGAGTACTGGTCACCCAAGTAGGCTTTCCCCACCTGAAATCAGCTTCGTACGTAGGGAATTCGCACCAGCTACTAAAAATGTACAAGTCTACGTCCTTTTCTCCCCTCAGACCCTTCATTTTTTCCTTGATCTCAACAACCCATGAGGATGCATCTGCCCTTGCAAGTTCTGTCAACTTCTCACAAAGTTTTTCTTGAGATCCCCTAAGCAGACCGACCAAGACTGGCAATTCTTTCTCACCGGCGTCGGTTTCTGCAAAGAAGAGTGAATATATGTTTCCCATGGAGTTTTCTGGCGATGAAGGTAGCGCAATTCTCTTCCGTAGGTTCACTACGTGGGACAAAGTTGATGGTCTAGAAAAGCCGTGGTTCGACCTTGATGCTGCCATTGCGCACTTCCATATGAGTGCAGTCACAGCTTCAATGCGCGATGGTTGTGGGATGCTTTCGCTAGCAGCTTTGGCCCTGAGTTCTGCTATCTTCGGACCACGGAACACAATCCTTTTTACTGCAACATCATTGCTCCAAACTCGTGGGGTTATGAGTGCAGGCAAGGGCTTTACAGGGGGGAAAATAGATCATGCTGCGCTAAATTTTGGACAAACCAAGGAACAGGGCACCCCTGCATTGATATCTGCCCAACTTTTCATGAATGAGATGAAGGTGAATGCATCCGCGATTCTGTGAGAAAAACAAACTCCAATTGCCAGTCCACCGCATTCAAAGAAGTTAGTTTGCACACTCAGGAGACATCCTCCTGCTCCCACCGGAAGTCTAGTATCAACAGGAAGAAGTTTCCGAAGTATCTCAACATCGGGTTTTTGAAGAAGGTGGGCGAGAGGGCAGTTGACATGAGCTTCAACGGAATCGGCACCACTGTCGTTGCACTCAATGGATTCAAAATGGGTAGAAATGAGTGAGAGCTTGAGAGAAGGATGATCTAGGGATATTGGATGTTTGATGGGAGTCAATTGGACTGTCACCATTTGGGGTAGGGGTATAGAACAAAATCAAAGGTGTATATATTTGGGGAGATACTTGGTCGAGAAGGGAAAGTTGGAGAGTTCTAAGGGCAAGAGGAGTCGGAGAAAATGGTTTGATGATTTCTTTGCTTTTGATTTCAACATTGAAGAAAGCAGTAGACTTTGCCATTTCTAAAGTTTGTTGATATGAGAGACAGAGAGAGGGTTGTACCTACTCGGCAAACATTGTAATACTCACAACCAACTGCCTCTTGCCCACTTCAATTCCCCCTTTTTTCTTTTTCTTTTTTTTTCATTATGATGCTGTAAAAATAGGTTGCTTATAGTTTGAGATTAATTTTTTTTTATAATTTAGTTAAAAGTAAGTTATTAATATTAAAATAAAAAAATTTATGAGTAATTATCTTTATATTAATCTCTCGATAATTAAATTTTAATTAGAAAATGAAAAATAAATCTCTTTAATTTAGTTTTACAATGTTAATATATAATTATAATTGTAAGTATTTTTAATTTTTTAATATTTAAAAATATATAAAATATATAAAATATATTTTTTAATTAATATTTTATATATTTCTAAAAATATAAAAACTAAAAATTAAAACAATAATAAGTAATCTCAATCGAAGCTTTTATCAACTATTTTAGAACTCTCTAAGGTTTTTTATCTCATAATCGGCTCAGGTTCACTTCACTTTCAAAATTTTTTCAAAAAAAATACAGAAATTATTTTTTATTCAGATTTAGATTTATTTTTTGGTGAAGGTCAATCTCTGCCACATAATTATGTTGATTTTTTAAAAAATATTGTTGACTTATTCATTCTGCAATATCCATGCACGCAAAAATATTTATAATAAGGAGATGAAAGCCAAGTCACCTCGGACATTATTCTCCACTTGTTTGTGTTTGACAGAGCCTTTTTTTTTTTTTTTTTTGTCCTTTAAAATTTAAAATTACGTGCAGAGGAAACTTATTATTCAAGTGCTTATAAATATTTTAAAATTTTAAAAGAAAAGTCAACAATCTAAGTGACTAAGTACCCAGAATTTTTTTCATTTATGCAAAAATGAAGGGTTTTGATTTGAGTTGAGTTATGTATGTGAAGTGTATCAAGAAATAAAAAGTGAATTATTTTTGTTATGTAATATAAGATAAACAAAATGGTAATATTTTTCTCTAATTGTCTTTATTGACTTTTATTCTAAATAAGTTATCAGTTTTTATTTTTTAAAGTAAATAAATATTATTTTATTTTAATTTTATCATAATCTATTTATTAATTAATCATTTTATTAAAAAAAATTTTCTTTTATTTTTTAAAAAGATAAAATAAGCAAATATATATTGTTTCTAAATTTTTTAATTAAAAAATTAAAAAATAATAATCATTTTAAGATAAAAAGA